CGCTCTCGCGAGAGTTTCTAGCAAGAAGCTCTTAATCAATATTTCCAAACCGCGAAAAAGGGCAGTCATTAACAGGACATTTGAAGATCTCCGTCGGAGTCGCGGAATACGTGCCGTCGCTCGCTCCTATTATTCAAAATTAAACGAATATTGAAAACAATCTGCAATCGAGTATTTTCTAAACATCTCCTTTTCCTCCAGCGGATCTACGGATTCGCGTTACACACCGCTTCTCGCTCATCTCTGAGCGTTTCTCAAGATTCGGGCAATCTCGTCGAGGTCGACTCCCGAACAATAATTATATGTTAAATGAAGAAATTCGTGCAAATGTGAAGAAAAAGTTACTCAGAATTATGTCCTTGACAACATATGTCAAGGTCAAGGTCATTGGGGCTGGGTCCCCTATTCGCTATATTTACCAAAAAAAATATATTGAAAAAAACACAGCGGTAACTGCACCAACCGGTATAGCAGCTTTTAATATTGATGGACTTACTATTCATAGATTATTTAAATTACCGGTAGAACATGGCCGTACTGCCAAATATAAACAACTTTCTGATGAAATCCTTAAATTATACGGGAGGAACTTAAGAATGTTGTTTTAATAATTATCGATGAAGTTTCAATGATTTCAAATATTACTTTAATGTACATATATCTTCGATTAACAGAGATATTTAATACCATGGATTGCGATGGATGGTTTGGCAAAAAACATATACTTCTTTTTGGAGATTTATTACAACTTCCACCTATGCATGAAGATCCGATAATATTAAAGAATTAATGAAAAAAAAAAATATCAGAAATTACAAAAAATGAAGATGAAAATGACTGTCTTGAAAATGGTGCATTAGAATGTGTTCCTGTCGAAGTTGAAGGAGCTATGAGGGACTTTAAAGATGTTGGCAATAAATTTGAAATTAATGTCGATGAAATGGTGACGCAATTAAATATTGATCAAAAACGAATCTTTGATAGAATTACTGCTGGTATATCTGATGATAATAGTGAAGTTCTTAGACTTTATGTAAGCGGTGAAGGTGGTACTGGAAAGAGTTTTTTGATAAAAACTATTAGATGTTGGATTAAAAAATATATTGAGAAAGACACAGCGGTAACTGCACCAACCGGTATAGCAGCTTTTAATATTGATGGACTTACTATTCATAGATTATTTCAATTACCGGTAGAACATGGTCGTACTGCCAAATATACACAACTTTCTGATGTAGTTCTTAAAATTATACGGGAGGAACTTAAAAATGTTGTTTTAATAATTATCGATTAAGTTTCAATGATTTCAAATATCACTTTAATGTACATACATCTTCGATTAACAGAGATATTTAATACCATGGATTGCGATAATGGATGGTTCGGCAAAAAACATATACTTCTTTTTGGAGATTTATTGCAACTTCCACCTGTGCATGAAGATCCGCCTTTTATTGAATTATCAAAATTAAAAATTGAGAAATACATTGGTGCAATGGGTTCTGTAAATTTATGGTCTTTATTCAGTTATGAATACTGCAATGTTAAATCGTGTTTCTTCGGATAAGATAGAACTCGTTGCTCAAGATCTGGCAGAATGTGCACCATATTTAAAGAAAAAAGTTATGAAGATATTAAATAAAGATGATGAAGATAGTTCTCGAACAGCTGGATTAGCAAGAATCATAACTGTCAAATTAGGAGCACGTGTAATGGTTAGAAGAAATATCGATGTTAGTTTAGGTCTTGTAAATGGTACGATTGGTACAATTACATCAATTATACGTAGCGCAATTGACAATGAAGTAGAAAAAATTAAAATAATAGTGTCATCAGGAATAGAGCATATTATAGAACGTTTAAATGTCAAGTTTGAAGTAATGGATAAAGCATTTGTTATAAGAAAACAATTTCCTATATGTCTAAGTTATGGTATGACTATTCATAAAAGTCAAGGCCTGAGTTTAAAACATGCTGTTGTGGAAGCTGGAAATTCTATATTCAGTTGTGGACAAGTATATGTCGCTCTTTCACGAGTGACTACCCTGAGTGGATTGCACCTTATAAATTTTGATCCCTCTTCTGTAAAAGCAAATGAGTTAGCTATAATAGAATATAATAGATTGCGAACACAATACAGGCCAGATCTTATACATATTAATATTTTGAAACAACGTGTTCACAAGATTCGTGATACAATTTGGGCAATATCATCAAAAAATATCTTGGAATGTCAAGTTAATGATAAGGATATTAATGATTCTACTTTATGGCATATAAGACTTCCAAAATAAGGACTTCCAAAATAAGGACTTCCAAATGTTGATAATATATCTTGCTATGCTAATGTTTCAATTCAATGTATACTTCATTCTTCTATTCTCAGAAAATTGTTGCTTCGTCTTGAGCATAGGAATATTATAAGAAAATTTATT